ACAAGAGAACTTTTATCATCAAAATCATTTACAATTTTTTTGGTTATAAGATTGCACTTCATCCACTGTGCAAAAAAATTTCCATAATGCAGATGTTCTTCTTGAAATTTTATGATTGTTCGTTGTAATGGTTCAAACACAGTAGAATAACTCTTCACAAACTCCCAAAATTCATCGCATAATTCAAAATTCTCATCTAAAGATTTATTTTGTACAGACTCTACGTTGTCCAAAACTTCCTTGGCTGCATAAACTTTTTCTACCATATTATATGTCGATCCCCACCGTGTAGGACAATCGAGTTGTGGTAGAGTCAACTTTTTTAGTTCAAAAATTTCACGATAGCCGTTAGAATTTTTTTTGATGAACTTGACTAAGTTTCTGCAATTCATCAAATAAGTTCTAATGTTCAAGTCCTTAGTAGCATCCAGTGCACAGAGCTGAGCAGTGTGAGCAGCACAACGGCAAATTTGAATGTCGCCCAACTGAATGTCAATTGTATCTTCGAAAAGTTCGATATTTTTTAAATATACATCATTTGCTTCCTCAGCCTCGACTTCTTCGTACAGCTCGTTGGCGATGCTACAGTGCGATAAAATCTTTGTCGTTTTGATCATGTTTGCACCATTATCTGATGTAATTGATACAACTTGATTGAGATTTACATTGTATTTGCTCAATAAGTTCACAATTTCCGTCGACAAATTACGAGATGAACTTGATGCCACTCCTTTCAGTTCCACCATTCCTAAAATGGTTGATATAATTTCGTTGTTTTTTATAAATTGTGCACTAACAGCAAATATATTGCGAGACAATCTTGTGGCACTGTCAATTTTTAAGGAAATCAATCGTTGCTTGAGCTCTTTTTTAATATGTTCTTTAATATTGCCAGCAACTAATTTCAAGACACTTTTACAGTTATTGCTGTTCAATACAAATTTTTTATTAAATTTTTCTTCTAAGCCACGACAAATAGGGTCAATAATCTTTCTCATATTTTCCGAATTAAGGACATTAAATGGAATACTGTCCTCAGTTACTAAGCCAATATAGCAGCGAAATAACTCTTTTTTGCTCATTTCGATTTTAATTGTTTGTTTTCGGAATGATTTTTTCACAACTATTGCACTAGTACTTGAGCTGGAATCTTCATTTTCATTTATATTTAACTGGTGCATATTTTTTAAATGCGTTCTTAAATTAAATATTCTGTCCCTCTTCAACGAATGTTTGCAAATTTTACAAACTGCTAAATCGCTATCACTAATTATTTTAAAATGTTGAAGAATTGCTAATTTATTAAGTCGCGGAGCCATGATATACCGATTAAAATGAAACACTTCAGAATAATGGCAACTTTGTCTTTTAAGCTGTACGGAATTAACACGACTAGGCCGATTTACATTATCATAAACGTAAATTGCTTGTTTATATAAAACATAGCTCATGTCAGTTCATGAAAATGTTTGTCTAAAGTATCACGTATTAGACACATAATAGTGTCCCACATAGTCATATATATAATATATATATATATATATTTATATATGAATTAATAGTTCATAATTAATATATATATATATATCTATCATATGAATTAATAGTTCATAATTAATATATATATATATATCTATCTATATATATATATATATATATCATATATATCATAAATTTAATAATTAAAATAAACATAAGTTTAGGCATAATCTAATTACAAATAAAATTATATTAATTGCATACAAATTGTACGCACACATCATAATTGACAAAGAAATAATGCGTACACATTCCCTTAAAACAAAAACAAAAAAAGAAATCCATACACATTTGCTAATAGCAAAACACAAGCAACTAACGCATAAGCAAGCAAGTTGCATATATTCCAAATGCATAATAGTCAAAAATGTAAAATTGACTATTAGCAAGCAATCAAAACTGGTTGTTTACGTTTTTTGCTGTTGCTAATGCATATTTTTATTTCATTTTCATATGCAATGCGTTAGCAATTAGTCGTTTGACAAAAATCGACTGGTCCATAGTTATGCATTAGTCAAAATATGGTTGCTTTTGCTAATTTTCAGCAAGCAATTCAAACCCTGGTAAAATCAACATTTATGGAAAACAGTAAAGTATTAATTAACATTGTCCAACCAGTCTCTTTTAAGCCCATAATTTACTACCTATATACATACATATATATCTAGAATATATGTTTTGCTCATAAATATTAAACACTCACTGATTGAAGAAAGTTGAGAATGCGTTGTGGCTAATTTGTGACGCAGCCACAAAGCAAATTTCATATCATAGTTCCAACAATATCCGTCTACTGCGCGTTTTGGTAAGTGTCACAACTTACTCTACATCACAGTATGTTAGATGATATAGAACTCAACTCTTCGAGGAACTTAGTATAGGAACGTATATAATATTTTGTTCTGTTTATTTTTTAACTTGGAATGTTATTGTTCTGATATATGTTTTTTCAAATTATATTTTGAAATCGTTTATTTTACCAAGAAACAAAATTTAAACAAATAGTAGTAGCAAAGGTAAATACGTATACAGAATAAAGAGATCTAAGCAGTTTTAACAAACATTTTTAATAATAATATCGGAATTCGGAAATTAAGAACAATACGCATTTTTCTACAATAAAATGCGCAGTAAAGCCCAAAATAATTTAACATATTTAAGATCTGGTGAAATAATATTCAAGATAATGATAATAGAAACTAACGGATATGTAGAAGGAGGCAGTTGTCGTTACGTCTGATATATTCTGATCTTTATTTAAAAGACTGCGCGTCTTCTACTCTGGTATAGTTTGATGTTATCAGAAATGATATTCTGGTATTTAGAAAAAAAATAGTGTTATACATTATTTTTCAGTTTCTTTGGCGCCCAGTATCCCTGACGCTCAGCTGCATTAAAGTTAAGTATATTTTAGCTTTTAAAGGTTATTTTGTAAAATATTGAGATAAACTATCTAATTAAATTTTAATAACAAATTTAAACTTATATATAACAAAATTTTTAATTAGATTTGTTTGATTTCCAATCTAATTAAAAGAAACTACAATGAATTAATATTCTGTACAAATTGTACTAACAGGCAAAGTTTTAAAGCATGCACCAAAGCACTAATTGCATACATTTTCTATACAAATATGAAATTTCGTATTTTGTTCCTGTACTAGAAATATTCAATCATTGTACAATATTTGCCCATAATTTTCCTCGCCATGACAACCAATCATGATATTATAGTTGCTTATTGTACAATCTTTTGTTCAGTTTATAGATATCATGTTGATGTCAGTTCCTGGAAATTTTCATAACTTCATTTATTTTCAAGAAATATTATACTAGAATTTAAAATTTATGCAATTTTATAAAATATACGAGTAAGTGCAGTAAATATTAAATATTTTTCATAACTTTTACTTGATCAATCAGTTTTCATTAAATTGTCCTTCGTATTTAAAATTTTTATCTTTTATCTATTAAATGTGTCTTTAACACCAGTGAAGCTCATATAAAAAGTTTAAATATTATCATATAAAAAAAAAATTATTTGATATATTTTTCAAAATAATCTCTATTTACAAACATCTATTTTATAGAAATGAACATGACAGCGTCTACAGCTTTTTCTCCATGTTTTTGTGTAATCCTATCTAAATTTTTCTTTTGAGCATATTAACAAAGAAAAAATGCATCATTAAATCTTTTCAAAGGAAATGTCTAATATGATTTTTTATATTTATTCTGTCACCACAAAATACAACATTACGTAGAGTTTGTTAAGTTCTATCGTCTGTATGTTGTTACTCGTATAATCAACTTACGGAAAGCATAAAAATTAAATAGTTCTTTAACGCATGAAGTGTTCACTGAGCAACAAAGAGTAAGATGTTAGCAACGTAAATCTTCAAATTTCGAAGTAGCACGTGTCTATGACTTCAACCCTAACGTGAAGGCATCATTTACGTAATATGTATACATATATACACATAAAAGATATCCCAGGGGCTAATGCGTATTCTATATTTAGACACAACTCATGCATTTGAGAAAACTTAGATACTAAAAGCATTTGATTTCATATGCAACTGCGCCAAACTTGGGAATAACGCAACAAATGCGTTAGTTATGCATAAGTAGTGTACATCAAGGAGTTTCATAAATTAGACACAATTCATGTATGAGCAGCATATAGGTACTTCAAAAACATCAAGGCATATCAGTTACAATCAAAAAAATTTATAAAATCAATTCTCATTCTATTCTTTTGTTTTCTTTTAAGTAACAAAAGCTTTTATTTAAATAATGTTTTTTTAATTATGTGATATAAAAAAATTATTATAAGAACTGTATATGATCAGACCAAACAAAATTTTAGATAGTTTCATACCTAATACAATGATAACAACATATACGAAATTTTTTCCGTAAGACAAGACTTTGCAAATAAAATAATAAACGTCACATATGTGTAGAAGAAAAATATAAATAACTCTAAAATAAAAAAGTTGAAATATTTGACATATTGTAACACATATATATTATACATTAGGATTCTTAAACTAGAAGAACTACTTCAATTTGATTCCATTCGAAGATTTCCAGATTCTAAAATTTTTTTTTATATACTTTAACTTCAGTAATTTTTAGTTGGCCTTGTTTTTGGTTATCTTTAGGATTTAAGTCTGACGTTGGTTTACATATTTCACTGGAGTCCTTGCACAGCTTGTATTCAATCCATATTGCAATATTTTACTTATTGAGGATATATTGGTGTTCATAATTTTATTGGGCCCTTATATTTTTGATATGAAGAATGGAAAGTTGGTATTTTCGCATTCATACAGTTATGCAGCACTTTGGTGAACGTACTTTTGCAGTTGAATAACAACTTAACAAAACGATATACTATATTGTTATTTATGAAATTGATATAAATTAAGCTTTTTGTATCTTATATAGTTTAGACCAGATCACTGTACGACTAGACTATACTTCAAAATAATTTACGAAATAAAACTCGAATATATACCTTTCATACTAACTGATTTGTTACACTTTCTAATAATTAACTTTATTTACTAATTTATAGTATATTCTAAAAGGATGAAATTGGTTTAGCTTATTTTTATTGATAAAATTTAAATTCTGATTAAATCTGTAACATTTTGAGGCCAACGATGTGTTAGATGTCCCCCTACAACAAAAGACAAGCTATACATTAAGTATTACAAGCATCTTACAGTATTCAGCGATTTTCCGCATGGAATCTAAAAGATATAGGAGTGCTCATCACTATGATAAGATATGAAGCTGTAATGATATTTACAGAATGATAAAAAATTCTTCTACCTAGAGAGAGAAATGAAACACGTTATGCGAGCACATTATGCGAATTTCACGTGAATTAGTTTAAGTTATAGTCAGTGAGATGTATTCATTAAGATGCTGAAATATATTTTCGAAAATAAATATTTGAGCAAATTTTATTATCTTTATAACAGATGGACAAGAAAAAACATAATAAAAAATTTTAGAGTAGATATGAGTTCACTTTTTAAATGTTTCTGTTTTTTAAAAAGGTTTAAGTATGTGAAATATAAGTTTGTAAATTAATTGTTAATTTTATTTTAATAGAGTCCTTAGAGCAGAGTACTATTACAAAAAAATGTCAACAAATCGATGTGGTTATATTGAACTATTAAAATATAACTGTACTTGTTTAATTATCTCATCATCCACACTAAATGTGTACACCTGTTTTCCAAATTTCCAAATCTATTCAAAAAAAAAATCTATTAAATTGTCTCAATATTCAGTATGGAAATCAGTTATGCAAAATGTATACACAGCAAGTACTTACAATATGTCTAATATATAGACTAATGAGTAGAAGTAACTGTCTTAAGAGCTACAGTAAAGCAAATCAAGTTCTACCTCATAAAACTGTTTTCCTAAACATAATGTACTTAACATATAAATTGTTAACAAAAGTTTCTATTTACTTTGATAAGATTGAGAAAAAACTTCCATAGCGAAAACTTTGAAAAACAAAATCATAAGAAGTTTATGTAGCAAACGAAGATATTTTATATATATTGATGTACTACTATACAGT